AAATTCACTTTTTTTTTATAATAATCAAATATTAAATCTCTTGATATCTCACATACAATATAATTAATAAATATTTATTATGTTTATGACCTGAAGCCTCTCCCCTCCGAAGAGACGTTGCTTCTGGGCTACTGGTTTCTTCAATGGATTGGTGCTGAGCTTATGCTAGGTTTTTCTCAAGTCAATTAAAGTCTGGTTAGGTATCTTACAAAACTTGAATTTTTCACTTTATTAAGAATTACCTACAAAACAAACAAAATATCAAAATAGTTAATTATTATATATATAATTATTTATAAATATATTAACTTTCAAATAAATTGATACCTACTTAATCATTTAATATTTACAAAAAGATTTCATACAATATGCTTCAAGAGAATTGAAGTAGTTGATGGAATTTATTCAATTATTGATATATGTATGAGAATTTAATGATAACAAAGAACAAGTAAAATTAACATATTAGAGAATGGATAAAATGGGTGAGATATGGAGGACATGTGCTTTAAAAAAAAAAAAGAAAAAAAAGAAGAGATGAGAGAATGGTATGCAAGAGAATGGGAGGAGAATTGAAGAACGCAGTTGGTTCAGCATGGACTAAAGGTGTGGTATATATAGAACTTTCAACAATATATACCATGTTGCTAAAAGTTTAGCCACCCATCAATAATGTATTTCATTTTGCTAAAACCTATTTGAATTTCAAATCCCATAACTCATCACCGATGTCTATCATGTTATTAAGACCTAAAATCACCAATTCTCTTCCCACACTACTGGATAGTTAAAATTATTATAGTTTAATTAATTTTTAATCTTAAAAATATTCATTTTTATACCTAAAATTTAATTTATTAGTTGATTTTGTTTAATTTATTAAATTTTATTTAACATATGACACATTAATTAATATAATTGCATTATTTATTAACATATTTGAATAATTTAATACTCTATTTTGTTTAAAAAAATATGTGGATATGCATATTGTTGACGACCAAACTTAAGATTTCAAAATTTAAAAAGAAAAATAAATAATAAAAAATTAAGTGTGAAAAATATAAAATGAGTCATCACTCGTCCAAATTACAAAGTAGGACAAGTCACCTTAAACGAATTTGCGTAGAGATCGAGGTTCGAGAGTTCGGTTAGGAGTGAAAAAAAGCCTATGCGTATTTCACAATCTTTTATTTAAATACGGTTGCATACTTTAACATTAGAGTTGTAATTCAACTTATTTATTATATTTTTGTTTAGGTCTAAATAGGCAAACTTAAAAGGATAAACCAAATTGTAACATATATCTTTTTTCAAGTTTTGGGCTAAAATGAACAAAATCAAGAGCATGCATGCACAATGAGCACAAATAAAAATTAAATGCACTGACTTGATTAAATTCAAAAAAAACATGGAGGACTGATATGAAAAGGTTTGAAACCTTGGGACTAAATTACTTAATCATAAAATTTTTGGGTGAAATTGAAATAAAAAGAGATGATTTGGACTTTAACCAAGATTAAAGGAAATTAAGGATTTAAATTAATTAATTATGATAATTAGTTTAATTGAATGATTAATTTATCATTAATTAGAATTAATTAAATTTAATTAATCACATCTATTAATCTTTAATCAAGATAATTAAATAATATAATTATCTTAAATTAAGA